TAAATGAGGCGTATTAATCTTTCCGCTGATTACAGTCGTTACTCCGAGCCACTTTCACACACATGGACACACACCCGCACGCGCGCAGACGGACATGCATGCGCATCCGGATTCAAGAACGCTTTTCATTTGCAAGGGTAAATGCGCGTGACGAGGAGGCAAGTGCAGGGAAATTGACTGTGTGTTCAGATGGCCGCCGGTTCGCCTCTGCGGCCGCTGGTGTGGGTGTGTCTGTGTGCGTACACACACACAAACACATATGCAATTACACACACACACACACACACACACACACACACACACACACACACACACACACACACACATATATATATATATATATATATATATATATATATATATATATATATATATATTATATATATGTATATATATATATATATATATATATATGTATATATATATATATATATATATATATATATATATATATATATATATATATATATATATATATTATATATATATATAATATATATATATATTATATATATATATATATATATATCTGTGTGTGTGTGTGTGTGTGTGTGTGTGTGTGTGTGTGTGTGTGTGTGTGTGTGTGTGTGTGTCTGTGTGTGTGTATACAGGGAGAAGAGCGAGAAATTCATCTGCGTTTGCCTGCGTACACACAGCCCCTCACACGAAGCCTCCGTCCCCTCACTCAGCCGACGAACTGCACTCCCGAAAAAATGAACAAAAATGAACACGGGGCTCGCGCACACAACATAAACACACACTCTTTTCCACTCTGTTGCCATCACAAACCGTTTTTTTTTTTTTTTTTTTTTTTTTTTTTTTCGTTAGAGTCTAGAAGGATGAAGATATTTATGGAAGGAACTTGATGGGAAGTTATTATGTCCATTTGTAATTATTTCTTGCTTACTGTGGTCGTTTCTTCAGATTTTAATAAATGTTATGTTTATATTCATATAAGTTCAAACACACATACATACATATATATATATATATATATATATATATATAGTATATATATATATATATTATATATATATATATATATATATATTATTATATATATTTGTGTGTTTGTGTATTTTGTGTTGTGTGTATATTTGTATTATGTTTGTATGTGTGTGTACTTTTGTATTTGTGTATATGTGGGTGTTTGTATGTGTAAGTACATTTGTATGTGTGTGTTTGTGTATTACGTTTGCATGTGTGTGTGTTTGTATATATATGCACGTTGGTATATACACTTGCATGTGTGTGTCTTTGTATGTGTATGTACGTTGGTATGTATACGTGCTGTGTGGTATTTTGTATGTGTATGTACGTTGGTATGTATACGTTCATGTGTGTGTGTTTGTATATGTATGTACGTTGGTATTTATACGTGCATAAGTGTGTTTGTATATGTATTTACGTTAGTATATATGCGTGCATGTGTGTGTGTTTGTATGTGTATATACGTTGATATACATACTTGCATGTGTGTGTGTTTATGTATGTATGTACGTCGATATATATACTTGCTTGTGTGTATGTTTGCATGTGTATGTACGTTTAGATACATACTTACTTGTGTGTATCTTTGCATGTGCATGTACGTTTAGATATATACTTGCACGTGTGTTCTGATTTCCGTCCGTGTACGTAGAAAAAAAAAAGTACACAGACAAACAGCTCTGAGCGGTGCGTGAGTGCAGTCAAAACGAACCTCGAAGAACGGCCATTAAAACGCACCCAATCACAAAAACGAGCATTAGTGGCCATTTGTTGCAAGGCGAGATGCAACGCGTGCAATCCGGGAGGCGAGGCACGGGAATCCGATATGAATCAAGGGTGTCTGTTATATCTTTTTCTTCTTTTTTCTTTCTTTCTTTCTTCTTTGTCTTTTCTTTTGTTTTCTTTCTCTTTGTCTTCTTTCTTTCTTTTCTTTCTCTTTGTCTTTCTTTCTTTTTTTCTCTTGTCTTCTTTCTTTTCTCTTTCTTCTTTTCTTTTCTTTCTCTTTGTCTTCTTTCTTTGTTTTCTTTCTCTTTGTCTTTTTCTTTCTTTCTTTTCTTTCTTTGTCTTCTTTCTTTCTTTTCTTTCTCTTTGTCTTCTTTCTTTCTTTTCTTTCTCTTTGTCTTCTTTCTTTCTTTTCTTTCTCTTCGTCTTCTTTCTTTCGGCCATTAAAACGCACCCAATCACAAAAACGAGCATTAGTGGCCATTTGTTGCAAGGCGAGATGCAACGCGTGCAATCCGGGAGGCGAGGCACGGGAATCCGATATGAATCAAGGGTGTCTGTTATATATCTTCTTTTTTCTTTCTTTCTTCTTGTCTTCTTTCTTTTCTTTCTCTTTTCTTTCTTTTCTTTCTCTTTTCTTCTTCTTTTCTTTCTTTCTCTTTTCTTCTTTTCTTCTTCTCTTTCTTCTTTTCTTTCTTTTCTTTCTCTTTGTCTTCTTTCTTTCTTTTCTTCTCTTTCTTCTTCTTTCTTTCTTTCTCTTTGTCTTCTTTCTTCTTTTCTTTCTCTTTCTTTCTTTCTTTCTTTTCTTTCTCTTTGTCTTTCTCTTCTCTTCTTTCTTTTCTTTCTCTTCGTCTTCTTTCTTTCGGCCATTAAAACGCACCCATCACAAAAACGAGCATTAGTGGCCCTGCGAGATGCAACGCGTGCAATCCGGGAGGCGAGGCACGGGAATCCGATATGAATCAAGGGTGTCTGTTATATATCTTCTTTTTTTCTTTCTTTCTTCTTTGTCTTTTCTTTCTTTCTTTCTCTTTCTTCTTTCTTTCTTTTCTTTCTCTTTGTCTTCTTTCTTTTCTTTCTCTTTGTCTTCTTTCTTTCTTTTCTTTCTTTGTCTTCTTTCTTTCTTTTCTTTCTCTCTTCTTCTTCTTTCTCTTTTCTTTCTTTCTTTCTTTTCTTTCTCTTTGTCTTCTTTCTTTCTTTCTTTTCTTTCTCTTTGTCTTCTTTCTTTCGGCCATTAAAACGCACCCAATCACAAAAACGAGCATTAGTGGCCATTTGTTGCAAGGCGAGATGCAACGCGTGCAATCCGGGAGGCGAGGCACGGGAATCCGATATGAATCAAGGGTGTCTGTTATATATCTTTCTTTCTTCTTGTCTTTCTTTCTTTCTCTTTGTTTCTTTTCTTTTCTTTCTTTTGTCTTCTCTTTTCTTTTCTTTTTCTTTGTCTTCTTCTTTCTTTTCTTTCTCTTTGTCTTCTTTCTTTCTTTTCTTTCTCTTTGTCTTCTTTCTTTTCTTTTTCTTCTCTTTGTCTTCTTTCTTTCTTTTCTTTCTCTTTGTCTTCTTTCTTTCTTTTCTTTCTCTTTCTTCTTTCTTTCTTTCTCTTTGTCTTCTTTCTTTTCTTTCTCTTCGTCTTCTTTCTTTCGGCCATTAAAACGCACCCAATCACAAAAACGAGCATTAGTGGCCATTTGTTGCAAGGCGAGATGCAACGCGTGCAATCCGGGAGGCGAGGCACGGGAATCCGATGTGAATCAAGGGTGTCTGTTATATATCTTCTTTTTTTCTTCTCTTTCTTCTTTGTCTTTTCTTTTGTTTTCTTTCTCTCTTTGTCTCTTTCTTTCTTTCTTTCTCTTGTCTTCTTTCTTCTTTCTTTCTCTTTGTCTTTCTTTCTTTCGGCCATTAAAACGCACCCAATCACAAAAACGAGCATTAGTGGCCATTTGTTGCAAGGCGAGATGCAACGCGTGCAATCCGGGAGGCGAGGCACGGGAATCCGATATGAATCAAGGGTGTCTGTTATATATCTTCTTTTTTTCTCTTTCTTTCTTCTTTGTCTTTTCTTTTTTTTTCTTTCTATTTGTCTTCTTTCTTTCTTTTTCTTTTCTTCTTTGTTCTTCTTTCTTTCTTTTCTTTTCTTTGTCTTCTTTCTTTCTTTTCTTTCTCTTTGTCTTCTCTTTCTTTCTTTTCTTTCTCTTTGTCTTCTTTCTCTCTTTGTCTCTTCTTTCTTTCTTTCTCTTTGTCTTCTTTCTTTCTTTTCTTTTCTCTTTTTTTCTTCTTTTCTTTCTCTTTGTCTTCTTTCCTTTTTTTCTTTCTCTTTGTCTTCTTTCTTTCTTTTTTCTTTTCTTTCTTTTCTTTCTTTCTCTTTTCTTTTCTTCTTTTCTTTCTCCTTTGTCTTTCTTTCTTTTCTTTCTCTTTGTCTTCTTTCTTTCTTTTCTTTCTCTTTGTCTTCTTTCTTTGTTTTCTTTCTCTTTTTTCTTCTTTTCTTTCTCCTTTGTCTTCTTTCTTTCTTTCTTCTCTTTGTCTTCTTTCTTTCTTTTCTTTCTCTTTGTCTTCTTCTTTTCTTTCTCTTGTCTTCTTTCTTCTTTCTCTTGCTTTCTTTCTTTCTCTTTGTCTTCTTTCTTTCTTTCTTTCTTTGTCTTTCTTTCTTTTCTTTCTCTTTGTTCTTTCTTTCTTTCTTTCTCTTTGTTCTTTTCTTCTTTTCTTTCTCTTTGTCTTCTTTCTTTCTTTCTTTCTCTTTGTTTCTTTCTTTCTTTCTTTCTCTTTGTTTCTTCTTTCTTTCTTTTCTTTCTCTTTTTCTCTTTCTTTTCTTTCTCTTTGTCTTCTTTATTTATTCTTTCTCTTTGTCTTCTTTCTTTCTCTTTTCTTTTTCTTTCTTTTCTTTCTTTTTTTCTTCTTTCCATTTTTTTCTACATACTTTTCAATTTATTTGTTCTCCTTCTTTTTCTTCTTTATCTTCTACTGCATTTTTCTGCTTTTCTTCTTTCTTTCGTCTCGTTCCTCTTCCGCTTCTTCTTTCATCTTCTTCCTCTTTTCTTATCCATCTCGCCCTCTTTCTTCTTCTTCTTCTCTTATCTTCCTTCTCCTCTTCCATCTCTGATTCCGAACCGATAATCACCAAAGATTCTAACAAAAAAAATTATGATTAGTCTTCCAGGTGTACGAATCTTCTCCAATTCTTCGTCTATTCCCTCTATGCTTTATTATCGTCTATTTTCTTATACATTGTTATCATCAAATTCCTTATGCACTGCTATCGTGGCTAATGAGATCTTTTTTCTTCCCGGCAGATGACCGTAAGGGCGAAGTGCTCGTTACTTCTCCTTGGACTTTGGCTCTTATGTGGAGTAAGGGCCGGCTCGCTACGTCAAACGATGGCGGATATACAAGGTAAATATTTTTTGTTTGTTTTTTGTTTTATTGTTGTTTCTCTTGTTATTTATGATTGCCTTATATATTCTTGTTCTGTGTATCTTCTTCTTGCTATTGGTTTATGTTCATTTATACTCTCTCTCGCTCTCGTTCTCTCTCTCTCTCTTCTTCTTCTTCTTCCCTTCTCTCTCTCCTCTTCTTCTCCCCCTCCGTTATTCTTCCATGTCACATTGCTTTATCAGGTTATTGGTTCACATCTTTTAATCTTCAAATCTTCCACTGTTTGCATTCGTGTTTGTGATTTTGCTCTATATTTATTATTTTCACTTTTCCTCTACGGATTCTTTCTATGTATTTTTATCTTATCTATTTATTTATTCGTAGCTGATGAAATATTATCTATACTTTTTCTTCTTATGCAATATTTCTTGTATTTTTTCTCGTGGTATTTCTATCATAATTATTTTTACTATTCTTCTTCTTCTTCTTCTCTCCCTCAACTCTTCCTTGAATTCACTTCTCGCCTCCTATTTTCATTCCTTCATTTGCCTCCTCGTACTTCCCTCTTCTTCCTCCTTAACGTCCTCACCTCCTTCGCTCTCTTACCCTTCTTACTCCCTCCCTTCCCTCCACTCTTTTCTCTCTGAACCCCCTCTCTCTTCGACCTCCCTATCTCCCTCTCTTCTTTAAATCCCCCTTTTTTCCCCTTCCTTATTTCCCTTTTCTCTTAAGCCTCTTCCTCTCCCTCCTTTCTTCTTTAAGTCCTCTCTTCTCCTCCTTCCTCTCCCTTTCTCCCTCTCTCTCCTTTCTTCTTCTTCTTTCTTCTCCATCTCCCTCCTTTCTCTTTCTTTCTTCATCCCCTCCCTTTCCCTTCTCCCTTAACTCTCTCCTTCGGTTAGTCTTGTAAATATCAAATTTGCATAAACTGAAGGTACATAGAATAATAGTTTTAACAATGATAAAGTTTTAACATGATGATGTGATTGATGAAGATGGTGATGATGATGATAGATGGTGAATGATGCATGATGATGAAGATTGGATGTGATGATGATGAGATGGTGATGGTGATGGAGTGATGAGAAAGAGGGATGATGATGAATGAAGATGGTGTGATGATGATGATGATGATGGGGATGATGATGGATGATGATGAAGATGGTGATGATGATGATGATGATGAGATGATGAAGATGGTGTGATGATGATGAGAGATGAAAGATGGATGATGATGATATGATGATGATGATGAAGAGGTGATGATGATGAGATGATGATGAAATGATGAGATGATGAGTGATGATGGAAGATGGTGATGATGATGATGATGATGATGAAGATGATGATGAGATGATGAAAGATGGTGATGATGTGATGATGATGATGATGATGATGAAGATGGTGATGATGATGATGATGATGATGATGATGAAGAGATGATGAGTGATGATGATGATGATGATGAAGATGTGATGATGGATGATGTGATGATGATGATTTGATGTTGATTGATGATTGATGATGATGATGATGATGATGATGGGTGAGTGATGATGAATGATGATGATGATGATGGGTGATGGTGATGATGATATGATGATGATGTGTAGTGTATGTGTGGATGCATGCGATTGATTTGTTGTACTTGTATGTGTGTGTGTGTGTGTGTGTGTGTGTGTGTGTGTGTGGTGTGTGTGTTGTGTGTGTGTGGTGTGTGTGTGTGTGTGTGTGTGTGTGTGTGTGAGTGCATGTACATACATACACAGTAATAATTACCAAGAATATTGCTCCTCCTTATAGCAACAATAATCATGTAAATAATAAAAAAAAAAAATAAAACATTGGAAAATACATCTCTCAAGATCACATTGCAACGATGGTGTTGTTGAAAGCACTCAATAAGCCCCAGTAACAGCTTTCTCAGCAACATTCAGTAATAACACGTGTGCTCACGGTCGCTGCGGCTGTCAACTGACCATTCTATGCGTTCCCACGTTTCATTCATTCGACGTGCCACGTATTCAAATTGTTAGCTTCCATACAACGTTAATAGCGAAGATTAATTAATTTCCCGTTGTAGAATTTAACGAAAGGTGTAGCGATGAGAGTTTTGTGCTGTTCAGGATCACGCTGCTGGTGATATTTCTCAAGAACGCAAGCAGGAAATAGCGGAAGTGTGCCAATGTGGCAACGTGGCGGCCCAGCTCGAGAAGGGAGCGTGATTTCCCATCGAGACTTTGATATATTTCCTTTCAAATATTAGATCCCGAGTTATATCATTACGTCGCGACTCCAGAAATAAGAAAAGATTAGAGTAACAGCGGCGAATCACGTGATTAGAGGGAAATGTCGACGAAAACACTGCGCCAGGGAGACATACGAGGGATCGGCGGTATAAACTATTTGTTCGATCCTTAAAACATGGCATTTGTTCACGGCCAAGTTATCCTCTGAGGTATAGATTGCCTGGGAAAACGGACGCGACTGTCCGATCCTGTAATAAACAAAAGAACTCGTTACTCATGCTCGTTCGGGTGTGACAGCAAAATATCCTGTGAATTAGTCATGAAGATATGCAGGTTGAAGTCCCCCCCCCCCCCCGCGAGCCACAATTGTTAAATCGGTTTACTCAGTTACACCTACATAGGTCCAATTATAGCTTTAAAATGCACATAGAATAGATAATTTTTCAAACTTTTTATTTCGTTTAGCTAGTCTACCCCCTCCCCCCCACCAAGAAAAATCTGAAATGGCGCCCCTCACACATGCACACACAGCGCCGGTTTTAAGCCGATTTGACCGGTTTGATCAAATTGGGCCCGCACCTGAAGAGCCCTTTTTATCATATAAGTAAAACAATAAAACCATATTGCCTTTCAAAAATTTATTATACCAAGTATTTAATGTTTAATTTTTACGTTTTTTTTTTTTTTCTACTATTTTTTTCCTAATTGGGCCCCGCAATCCTAATACCGGCCTGTACACACACACACACACACACACTATATATATATATATATATATATATATATATATATATATATATATATTATATATATATATATATATTTTTTTTTTTTTTTTTTTTTTTTTTTTTATATATAAATATGTTTAAATTCATATGTTAATTCATATACACACTCGTGTGTTGTTTATATGTGTGTATTATATCAATCTATAAGCGATAAATGTTTGAATAAATGAATAATGATGGTGTTGATATCATTTGAAGTGATAATAAGCCAATACGAAGAGAAAAAAGAACACCATCAAAAAGATTATCACCATCATCATCATATTACAATTACTCTACTAATGATAATGATAATACTAGCACTGGCAGCAGTACCGCCACTCGGCCCGCTATTGGGTGTTGTGTTCTGCTTTGATGTGTTATGTTATGTTGTGCTGTTATGTTACTTACCCGCCCCCCCCCCCTCTCCCTCCAGACGCGCTGCTCTCCCCCAGCAGCCAGCGCTACTCCGTCTACGTCCTCCCGCCGGCGACCCACCAGGACAGCCTGCAGAAGCGCCAGGCGGACTTCGAGGCCGACGACGCGAGGGAGGACTTCACGGCGCGCCCTGAGGGAAGGCGCGGCGCCCCCCGCCCCGACGCGCCCCCCGCCGGGTTCCTGGAGGTGTCCCAGGGTCCCGGCCTGTTCGGAGGCGCCGTGCGGGAGGGGGCGCCCTTCTTCATCACGGACTTCGACCCCGAGCTGCAGCCGGGCTGGGGGCACGAGGAGGAGCTCGAGGACAAGATGGACTCCTACGCCGTCGACCCCACGCCGGGCTCCTCCTCGCTCACCATCAGCGGCGACGGGCTGAGGGAAGCCGAGGACTCGCCCAGGCATTCGGACGCCGACAAGGATGCGAAGGTCCTGAAGAAACTCCTGGAGAAGCCGAAGAAGTTGATGAAGGTGGGTGCTGGCTTTGGACTTACCTCAGTAGTTTTGTTTAATTATAATTAACTTTTATTGCCTTATCAAAAAACTGCAGTAACAACATAACTACCAAAAAAATTACGACACATAACATAAATAAAATTTAACGACATATACAATATACAAACAAACACAGCACACAACATAACATACACAGCAAAACACACCAAATACCCCAACCCAACCCAGACCGCATCCGCACTCCACCTCATAACATAACAAACCAAGACCCATTTTAACCCCCCTCCCCCCCCACCCCCGCCCCCTCTGGCACCGCAGGTCATAAAGGCGAAGGGCAATGGGAATTACGTGCCCGAGGAAGTGCCCGGGGTCATGCTGCCCACTGAGGACGGCGAGGAAGCCTTCGTGCCCGAGAACCTCCTCGAGGACGCGGAGCTCCTGCTGACGGCGGGGTCCGCTCAGCAGCCCACTTACGCCGCGCCGGAGTCGACCGCGACGCCCGTGAGTACTGACGGGGGGCTGGACGGAGGACTTGCGAAAGGTCTGGACTTACGAAGCAAGGTCTATAGAAGTTGTTTATAGACCTTTTATGAAGGTTTATGAAGGTCTTTACGTAGGACTAGAAGACTTACGAAGGTCTTAACTTACGAACAAGGTCTATAGAAGTTAGACCTTACGAATACGTAGGACACTTACTTACGAAACTTACGAAGCAAGGTCTATAGATGTTATAGACCTTGTTATGAAGGACTTACGAAGGTCTTGGCTACGTAGGACTTTGGGAAGACTTACATACGGAGGACTTGGAGAAATGACTTTTACGGAGGACTTATGAAGGTCCTACTTACGAAGAACCGTAGGAAAGACTTGACGTACGTAGGACTTAAGAAAGACTTACTAACGGAAGATTTAGGAAAGATACTTACGAAGGACTTACGAATAGACATTTACGAAGGATTTACTTACTTAGATTTTACGAAGATTTTACTTACGAAAGACTTACAAGGGACTTACAAA